AATCAACTTCTTCTTTATGAGCTTAGGTACAAATATTACCTAGTCTAAGAGACACAACTCTGTCTAACCTTTCAGTTCACATACATGTACATCAAATACTTAATAAATTCAATTGTTATGTTTTGAAATCATTACGTTCAGTTTTGTATTTTATACTATGTGCTATTTACGTCAAATATAAGTTGCATTGCGTCCACGCATTGTCCTTGATCCCACCTTTCCTAGCCAAAGTTAAATATATGTAGTACACACCCTTACAATATTGGTAACACTGTCGCTACAAAACCACTCCACTATATATCCACCAAAGTCTTAGAAAGAAAAGGAATTTTTGATAGTCATAATCGCCTATGTACTGAAGTGACGTAACCTTAAAAATAAAAAACTCCTTTAGCTTACAGGTGAAAATATATTTTTAATTTGATTTTTTAAAAATTACCAATGAAACTAGTTATGTATTATAGTCAAAGAACTATTACCATTTGATCAATGAAGTTAAGTACCAATGAAATTGATCACTTCTTGGATGGGTGACGGCTTAAGAACCTGTAGTAGTGGGATAAGTCTAATAAATAAAATAAATATTTCTCAAATCCCCTGATAAGTATCACCTACTTCTTATCTCATTAACACCTTATTAACATTAACACCTGCATTCTTAAGAACAGGTCACTCAGTTAACTTTGTTACCGAAACCAGATACTTGGATAAGCAAAACAAGATATCAAAAACCCTGTACCAAAGCGAAGAACAATACTACAGTACTCATTGACCAACCTCAGTATAAAGCCAGAAAAAGAGGACTTCAAGGTCAGTTTTCTCTACATTTTCACCATAAAGCGGGACAAGCTGATCCACTCATCTAATCACCAAATAACTAATCAGGACCACTGTCTACAAAGAAGTAGGAGCCTCGATCTTTCATTCTCTCGCTCTGTTCCAACCTACGAATTCTGTTGTACAAGAAGAATACAATTTGTATTTATAACAAAAGAAAATAAACCTTCCAAAACAACATTCGCTCGCCGTTAATTTATTTTGAATGTAAAAACCAACATTCTGAGCCAACCTCCACAAACCCCTCAGAACTTTAAGCAAATTACTGTAAAATTCAGGAAAGCTTTGAAATTCCCTTCACAGTTCTAAGGGACATAACTCTACGTACTTCATAGTTGACCTAGATTTTAACTTTAAAAGGAATGTTGTTTTTCTACACACCGTTGTATTGAAACGTCAATAAACTTTTCGTAGTGTTACTGTTAAGTAACAGCAAAATGAAAAATTACTAATTTCTGGTAAGTTGCGTTCATTTTTTTTTCTTTTTATCTCACAAAAACTACGCATTTTGTGAGAATTACACTTATCAGAAAAAAACAAGTTTTCAATTACAATGATTTTTTTTCACGTGTCCTTTTTTAATTTTCCTTTGTTTTTCATTCTGATTTTTTAAAAATTGTGTACTTTGTTTTTTTAGTGTTGTGGAAGAAAGTTTCAGATGTGAATTTTCATAAAAGTAGAGATGGGAGGGAATGAATCACTTTTAAAAGGAAGCGAAAACTGCGTCATCGACACAGACTGAAGAAGTGCTGTGTAACTTGTTGAAAAAAAACAAACAAAAAAAACAGCCCAGTAAGATAAGATTTATTTTGTTTGTGACATAACTTTTTATCGAGATCACAACCAGGTATATAAAATCTTCTTTAATTTGAAATGTAATTTTCATTAATTTTAAGTCGCTTTAGAAATAACAAAAAAAAAAAAAAAACTAAAAAAACAAATAATAATCTTGACAACTTTTTTAAAAAATGAAACTGAATCACAAAGAAATTTGTAATTAAACATGAATTAAACAACATTATTTAATTAAAAAATGGCTTTACAGACGAAAAAAGAGAAAAAAAATCAGTAAAAATGACCAAACTTATTCACTAGTTCAATTAAATTTTATTTTTTTTAGTAAAAAATAAAAATGAATATAAAAGTTTTCTCTTTTGTTTTACAAAATGAATTATTTTAGATGATTATTACTTGAATGTAACAATGGAAATATACGCATGTTTAAAGATGTTTACATAGATAAAAAAAAGTTGTACATATTTTAAAAAAAATATTCTCTAACAACCGTAACGTGTAAAAAAACAAAAAAACAAAAACGAGGCATTTTATGAAAAAAATTTTTTTTGTTATTTTAATTATACACTATTTAAATAGTTTGTAAAATTATTTCTTGTGAATAAACTGATTTCATTAAGTTTAATAAAGAAATTGTATTCAAGTTATTTACTTATTTAAAGACGTTCGGCTATATTTCCAATAAATCTTTGGCTCATTAGCTGACGCAGAAAAAACAAAATTTTTAACCAAAATTTCAAACGTGCTAGAAAGAATTTAAAAACATTAATAAAATAATTAAAAAGTACTTTTGTCTTTCCTAATATAACATAAACATAAACATTTTGACGATAAAACTTTGTTTTTATCAAGTTTGGGGATTTTTTTCATTATATATTCTCTTTTTTAGAAAATGTTTGGAAACTGAACTCAGAGAAGAGCATAAAAAAAGGCCCCAAACTTGATAAATGTTTTTAATAAATTCTTTCTAGTACGTTTGAAATTTTGGTTAAAAATCTTGTTTTTTTTTTGTTTTCTATTTAACTTCAGATTTGTTTATTTTGCTGAAATTTTTTTCTTGATACCTAGATTGGGTTTCGAATAATTACACAGCATTTTTATTATCTCTAGTTGTGTTGTTCGAAGTTCAATCATGACATTTCTTATCTTACGTGCTGTGATTGTTATTTTTAAGATTTGAATAAATTATCTGCAACAAGTAGGTTTTCAAAGGCAAACTACAGCATTCAAAATAATTTATATATCGAGTGGTCAAAAAGTTAATTCAGTCAATAAAAATAAAGTACAATTTTTTTTTTTCTGTCACGAGGAGTTAAATTCGCGCTATTGTTGCAACCATTGTTTGACGGTTGTACCCTCCGGTCTTCATCAGGTAAATGAATTGCCGATCCGAGGTAACCCACAAGGCAGTTTAAACTGAACCCCTATTCGCGTTCTCAAAGTCTCCATTTCATCACTACCCAACTGTGGTGTTTTGTTCAGTGAGAAATTACCAACAGAAAACTTTACAAAACACTTATGTTCGGTTATTCATAGAACCTTCTAAACTTAAGATACGTCTTTTGTTCAAGATGATGCTTTCTTTTTTTTTTTTAAATAATAAAAAAAGAATAATATGCAAAAATGTTTTTCTTTAACTTTCCTACTTAGTCTCAGTAAATAAACATGCCAAATTTAATGCAAATTTTTTAAAAATACACCAATATGACAGCTGCCATAATGCAATCAAAAGCAATTTTCATTTTCATTTTTGAAGGATTACTTCTAATAATATAGAATGGACTTTTCAACTACCCAAAATTAAAAATTGACAAAACATTTAAAAAAAAAAATGAAATATTTTTGTTCTTAATAACGTATTACAATGCTTCCTTGATTTAAGAAAAACAAGATCCCCAAATTATGCTTTAGGTTGTAAAAAGTATTTTAAGGACAATTTATACATGTGATAAATGTTTTTGAAAATTTTCATTTGATTTAGAGAAAATATAACCATGTATGTAAATATTAAAATGTTAAAAAAAAAAGAAGAAATGTGTACCTAAAAAAGTGTTTTTGTTTATTAGTATGCATTTCTGCAATAACCTCTTTGATATAAAAATGCTTTTAATGCCATCAGAAGGTTCTAAAGATCTTTGTAGTATTTAAACATTGACTTCCTATGTATAGGAAATACTAAATATGTATTTACCCTTATGTGAAAAAATAACATTCAGGTTTATCACAGCTTTTTCACATTTTCTATCACAGTTTCTTCACATTTTTCACATTTTCTTATGGGAAAAATAACATTCAGGTCTATCACAGCTATTTCACATTATGAGAAAAAATAACATTCAGGTCTATCACAGCTTTTTCACATTATGAGAAAAAATAACATTCAGGTCTATCACAGCTTTTTCACATTATGAGAAAAAATAACATTCAGGTCTATCACAGCTTTTTCACATTATGAGAAAAAATAACATTCAGGTCTATCACAGCTTTTTTTTCACATTATGAGAAAAATAACATTCAGGTCTATCACAGCTTTTTTCATTATGAGAAAAATAACATTCAGGTCTATCACAGCTTTTTCACATTATGAGAAAAAATAACATTCAGGTCTATCACAGCTTTTTCACATTATGAGAAAAAATAACATTCAGGTCGATCACTTTCTTCACATTTTCTTATGGGAAAATAATATTCAGGTCTATCACAGATTTTTCACAAAATTAAACCATCATATAATTTTGCTTGTCCCCTTGTTCTGTATTTTGTTTGTCCTTTTAATCATGTCAAATACCTCATAAATAATGAAATTATTCTGGCATCATCTAATTAATTCCAATTATTAAATACTCTACTAATAATAACTTCTTCATTAAGATCTGTTTGAATTTTTATTTTGCAGTTTTTTGTTTTTTTGGGAATCAAAATTCTTGAAAGAGAAGGTTTGAAATCACCACGTATCTGACTCTCAAAACACAATGAATCCAACTGACCAAGGTTCACTTAAGGCATTCTTACCTCCTGCCAAACCGCCAATCATCAACATTTATTGCTGTCATACTGGTGGCTGCAATACTGACCTAGAGTCTAAAGAGTTTGTTGAACTAAGAAGGACTCTTCATCAGTGCATCAATACAGAAATGTATGTTGTATACCATCTAAAACAGAGTCAACTAATAAATGATCCATGGGTCAGCAACACTGAGCTACTAGTCATTTCTTCATGTTGCAAGGGGTTGCATCAACCAGACAACATTTTATCTGAGAGTGTGGCCAATTATCTCAGCAAAGGTGGAAAAGTTCTGTGTTTTGCACCAGGGGTTCTGGAAACACAGCAGAAAGAAAAAAGGCACAATGAGTTGAGAACTGTAACAATGGAATATGCAAAGCAGAAGCTGCAGGTCGCCATACAAGAAGAAATACAAGAATGGAATGAACGTAAAGATTTAATGTTGGAAGGTTCAACATCAAGTGTCCTAGCACATTGTTGTGATGACCCTGGCTCTCCATTGATTATGCGGGTGGAGTTCCCTTCTTCCAAGATGCAAGATGCCTCAGGGATTGCTGTTATATCCCACGTGTGTATGAGTGGTATTTTAATGCACCTTGCTTCTCTTGTGAAAGCTTTTCTCTCTTAAAGTTGTGATAATTCCTACATTTTTATTACTTAAAAAAATAAGAGAATATTTTGTTAAGTCCTTTCTATTATTAGAAATTCTTCCAAAGTTCTTTGTGAACAATTTTATTTTTTCTATATTTAAGATATCCTGGTTTCTGGTACATATTTAAATATAAATTGTCTAATATCTGAGTGCTTTTGACTTTCATAATGATTTTCTAAGTGTACCTTAGATGTGGCACAAGGTCAAAGGTATGGGATACCCAGTGATGATCAAACTCACTACTCAATTGTAATTGTTCTAGTGAGGTAAGCTTGCTAACCATTACACCACACTGAAGTAACCTATGATTTTCTAAGTGTAGTTTAGATGTGGCACAAGGCTGATGGTATGGAGCATCTAGTGAGGTTCATATGACTACTCAGTTGTAATTGTTCTAAAGAGACAAGCTTACTAACCATTACGCCACATTGAGATACATCATTGCTTTTGACTTTCATAAGCCATTATCAAAGAGATTTTGTTTTTTATGCTGCATTAGTTTATGAAAAAAAGCAAATTGCCATAAATTCTTATATGAAGACACAATGAAGTGACATTTGAAAATACTGAAACTGACATAGCAGACACACATTCTTTGATAATGACTTATGTAAGCCAAAAGTAATCAGACATTGGACAATTTCTATTGAAATATGTACTAGAAAGCATGAAAAGTGTCTTGAATATAGGAAAAATAAATTTAAGAAATTCAAAATCCTTAACAAAGAGTTATCTTTAGTCTTTAAACAGGCACACACTCATGTGTGTGTATATGTATGTATGTATGTATATATATATATATATATATATATATATATATAGGGTGTGATGGATAAATTGTTGTCTAAATTACGCAAAAATGGAAATAACATTGACATCTCATTTTAACAGATATATTTACCAAAATTACACAAAAATATCTTGAAATACTAAAAAATAAATTTATTCAATAAAATTCTCATTGGCTTCAACCACTGCCTCCAGAAAACTTTGAAATCTAAGTTGGTGAATGCTGCCATAATCCTTGCCTTCAGTTCATCATTGCTGTTACATTGAGTTTTGTTGGTCTCTCACTCAACTATGCCTCTCACATAATAATCAAGGAGGTTGCTGTCTGGGGACTTAGGTGACCAGATGTAAGGGGTGATGTGGTCTCAGAAATTGTCTGGCAGCTATGACTGGGTTCTCCTGTTTGTGTAGTATGGTGCAGTGTCCTGTTGCCAGACAAAAGGTCTTCTAGCAGCCACCATCTTGATCTGGGACAGCACAACCTCTTCAAGGCACTTGATGTAATCCTCTCTGTTGATTTTGAGGCTCTGTGGGGAAGATGCATGGAGGCATAACATTGCCATCACTAGTGATCACTCTAAACACCAAGATGTTGACTGGATATTTAGTTTTCGTCAATCGTACATTTTTTGGTGATACAGCATCCTCTGCCCTGTCCACTAATTGACACCCAAACACTCTCAAATATATATATATTTTATTGTTACAAACATTAATTTTAGTGCATACCCATATTTCACTAGATGCTCTATTTTAAACAGTATTTTGTCTACTGGCCTGTGTATTTGAGAACATTTGATAAAGAGAATGTGTTTTCAAAACTGCACCCCATTGCAGGAGGAGCTATTGTCTGATCTGGTGTGCTTTTACTGCTCAGCTATGAAGAGTGTTACAATAAAGTAAGATATGTTGGATTAAAAAAATAAAATACATTAATTCTTTAAAAGTTGCTTTGTTTAAATTTCAGATGCAAAACTAAGCAGATATGTATTTTGGGAAATCTGAATGAGTCAGCATGCTTTAAATGCAAAATAGAACCTTGCTTTATTGTGGCACTTATAGCTGAGCAGTAAAAGTATGCCAGATCAGTGGTTCCTCCTACAAAGGGGAACCAGGTTTGAATCCCACTGGAGGGGACGTTTCGTTAATAAGTTGTTTGGAATATGCAGGCTGGTAGACAAAGTAAAATAAATGGAGCCTCTACTCAAATATGGGTATTTACTAAAAATAATGTTTGTTTATTCTTTTATATATATATATATATATATATATATATATATATATATATATATATATATTTTTTTTTTTTTTCAATAAGCACCTGAGGATTGTGGCATGAAACTCAGTTGTACTACTGGTGAAGAAAACAAGTATATTTATTTTAATATATAAATTATAGCTCTGTTATACTACGCCAAACATTATTTTATTCGTACTCAACGTGCGGTATTACATATTCATATATGTATATATATATATATATATATATATATATGATAATATATTTTTATGTTATGCTATATTTATGGGTTAAAGTGCTCAATGTTGGGTAATAGATTGTATGTAAATATAAAAGTGGATATTGATGTCAACTCCCACTGATGACAGTCTGTTTCATGCTTGAGCACAATCTTCAGGCATGAAGATTACACATAAGCATGAAACAGACTGTTGCCTCTCAGTGTTGACCTCATATATATATATATATATATATATATATATATATATATATATGTGTGTGTGTGTGTGTGTGTGTGTGTGTGTGAATTACAGTTAATGATATCCAAATGATTTACCTCATACAGATGATCATTTTGTCTATGAGAAAGTAGTTTTTCTATGGACCATGAATAAAACAGTTTCTTCACAGGAAATTTGAAAGGCAAAGGAAGGAAAAAGGAAAGAATAGGAGATGGAGTAAGAATTAGCCTATAATAGAGGGTGGGGAGTTATATAGATAAAGAGGGTTAAGAGACCTAAGGTGGTTGTGTTAGAGTTAGGTAAAGATAAAAGCTACAGTTGAAAATGGATGCAAACATAAATGTAACCTATCAACATCTGTACAAGGAAGAAGAATGAACAAAAAATGCCTATGAAACTTTTTAGAGAAGAGCTTAAAATTATTATCGAATGGGGGTAAGAATTTAAAATTAATTCTTTTATAAAAAGATGTTAATATTAATCCATTCAGTACTACATCTTTCTTTCGTTCCCATGAACAAAATGATCATCTATATGAGGTAAATCATTTGGATCTCATTAATTGTAATTCACTTATATGCTGTATAATAAAAAATTATATTGAGCTCTCTTTTGTGGATCAGTTTTAATATTTTATATTAATAGGATCTACTTGGATTACGTACCCACAGATTTTTTTTACCTGACATATATATATATATATATATATATATATATAAGGAAAAAGTGTGTGAAAACAAAGAAAAGAAATAATCTTCAAACCCATCTCTACAACTGTAATTTTACTATCAAGTATAGAAATAATTTTTGTTTTATGTTGAAAGAAACAAGTTACAAAGTTCCTTGCAAACAAGTTCAATGAAAAAGAGCACACCACAAAGAAATGAATTGTGTTAGTATAAAATGAGAAGGTGTATGAGAAAATTCATGAATTTACATTTTATGTATGTGTGTAAATGTGATTCCAGCAGACAGAAAATATGTGTTGTATTATTATTACTGCTACAATAATGCTTTGTTTGTATATCTTGATTGTATATTTTTTTGTATTGTAGACCATGTAAACTGGTTTAGGAAAATATATTAAAAGTGAGAATTAATTTGAAAAAAGAAACTTAGAACACTAATTGTGAATTTGAGTATGTAAAAGAAATTTGAGAATCCATTATAATTCACATCTCCTGGTCAAGAAATACTGATAGATTAAAAAATATTAACTTATGTTACATTATTCATAAGAAAAAAATTGGATCACAGGAAGTTAAAAGTTAGATTTGCTAAACTCAGAAGTTTTATTGGTTAATAAATATATTTCAAGTTTTTAGTCTTATTTTTAGGAGGGAAAGGATTGTTAATCATTTTCTGAAGTGATCCTACAAATTATTTTAGCAAATGATAAGAATAGTCAACTGTTTTTTGAAAGCCTGAATGTTTTTTGATATATCATCATTGATTAGTTCATAAATGTTGATGTGAAAATTTTAATTTTGAAGCTTGTGTGAGCTTATTTTTGCACAAAATTGAGGTGATGTCTGAGTGATCCTATTTTTGCATAGAATTGAGATTTTAGTGATACTTAAATCTGTTGAATTTTCCTTACAATTTTAATGGAATTACACACATGTATATATATGATAAAATATAGTTTTACAGTATGCTATATTTATGGGTAAAAGTGCTCAATATCTTTTATAGATAGTGTGTGTGTAAATATAATAGTGAACACTAAGATTAATGCCGAGTGGGAACAGTCTATTTCATGCAATCTTCAGGACCTGAAGATTGCATTCAAGGATGAATCAGACTGTTACCACTCAGTGTCAACTTGTGTGTGTGAAAGTAAACAATCCTCAAGTAGTATAAAATCTCACATCATCAGTTAATATCAGTTTTATTGTGAAAACATTGATTTGCATTGTCATGATGCATAGATGTTCTGTAATTTGAAAATCCTTCAACAATTGAAAAGCCTTTTTCTATTCTGCTATCTAATGTTTACTTTTTTGAGGAGAAATGCATTTCTCAAGGTATTTTTTATATTACCTGTGTTAATGCATGGGTGTGCACATGGTGTAACTGTAATCAGTGCAGAATGGGAAATTGGCAAGCTGGGTTCAAATTCCGGCCTAGTCATTTGCATTCACATTTTGCACAGATGCTCTTGGGAAAGGCATGCATCCATTTCTCCTCCCTTTAGCTATAAAGACCAGACTCTTTAGGCTTGAGAGACAATCAATCTACAAAAAAGAAAACTCTGTGGAGAATGCAACAGAAAATCACTTCACTATCTTATCTAAGAAGAATTCACAGATTATTTACAACCCCCCCCAAAAAAAAAAACAGAGTCTATGGGGAGCTATGATTACTTACATCCTGAAGGGGCATAGCAGTAAAAAAAAATAATGGTAATGCAATAGTTCAGATTTCATTGAAATTGATTACTTGACTTTCAAGTTAGCTGAATTCCTTAGATTATCTTGTCTGAGTTTTGAAGACATTGAATTATGCCACATTGTAGCATTTTTACATTTATCTTAGCATGTAATCTTAAATGTTCTAATTAATATTGTATTTGGCTTTTTGTTTTACATCATAAAAAGACTTGTTTAATTGATGAGGTATTGCTGCCATCAAGAGATCAGAATCATGAAAGGTATATTAGAATATAAACAGCATCGATTTAAATATTTAAATCAAGAAGTCAATCAATCAAGATTGTTTAACTAAAACTTTGCTTATTTCAATTTCAGGCTGTTTTAGACAAAGATCCAGCTGAACTAAGTTGTGATTCCAAAATTTTCACAAGTCTCAAATCTTCCAATGCAGTTCGGTTCAGTGTTCTCACAGACATTTTGTCAAATCATTTGGGAATTGACTGCAGCATGCAGATCCCCCCTGTCCTGACCTCTGCTGTTTTACTGTCACAAAGACGGGTATGTTTTTAATTTTTGATTTTGATAAATCTCTATAGCAATGTTTAACTTAGGGTGTGGGGGGAAAAAAAAGTGGTGTGTTAAAAGGATGGTTATACCTTTGACTCTGCTATTATTGTATACACTAGGTAACTTCACAAAAATTGCAATACCGAAGGTTTAAATTAATTTAAAGAAATGAAAAAGCTTTAATTTTAGCTTTAATTGAAAGCTAAAAAATTAAATCCAGTAAGCAAAATAGTTTGGCATATTTCAAACAGAAATTATATTGATTGGAACCAAATTTCAATTTTTTTCAATAACATCAACAAAGTTGTGCATTTTTTTTTATCAACATTTGCTTTTACTATCTACATTTATATATGTCTGACAAATGATGAAAACTTTTGTGGATTTTGACATCATTCTAGTTTTTTTTTCCATTCCAATTCGTAAATTTGTTTTGCCTATGCTAAGCCTTGAAAAATCACTATTTAAAATTCACGATTTTTTTATCTATAATGTTGAATGTATTAAAATTATTCAACTTTTTAACAAGAAAAATCTCAAGACAATGTTAAAAAAATTGCCACAAAACATTTAAAATGGTACAAGCTATTATGATGTATCTCTAATTTGTATTTAGATACATTGTATTTATTTTGTCTCTCCTTTGCCTCTAGCAAGTGAGCTGCTTGATTCTGCTTAGTGGCAGAATATAGTGGCCACTTTTATTTTTCTGTGTGGAGGCTGGGTCCTACTAACATACTTTATTTTTGATTTATTTAAGATGGAATGATCGATTATAATATGTCTCTAATTTGTATTTAGATACATCGTATTTATTTTCAATATTTCTAGTTGAATTATTTACCTATATTGCATCTGATCCATTAGGTTACAATAAAATTTGTATCTTATATGAATACTACCATATGAAAATGGTGGGGAGCATATCATAGATTCAGTGGTGGGGCACAAGACCTTTGCAGTAGTACAGATGATAGATGAGTTGGATGCCATATTTAACATTTATATAAAAGTTTAGATCTGATGAGGCTATTTAAGAACATGACTTGAGTTTTCTGGTCAATATTTTGGTTTTGTAGCATCTGTGTTGAACAAAAGTACTCCTTTCTAATCTATCCTGTGTTTAACTTTCTTATCTCCTGTACTAAATTTGTTATAACTGATCAAAACTGAAGTATTTAAAGTGATACCAATATTAAAAAAATAATAATTTAATTACTAAGTCATTAAAATATTTCCCCATGAAAAGCATTTGTTTGATTTGCAGCAACTGAAGGAAGAACTATTACAAGCCGTCTATCCTAAACTTCAAGATGGCTACTTGCTGCAAGGGGCTGAAGTATCCTTACTCTTAGTGGATACAGAAAAACAGCTTACAACTCCTGCAACTGAACGGGTCCTTCCTGTATTGACTAATGCAAACAACTTTCAACTACAATATTTTGAACCTGATATTTACTGGAAGAACCTGCAGACCAAAGTTCTTGGCCAGACAATGGTGTATGTTGATGTTGTTCCTACAACAATGCCTCTGCTTGATCCGTAAGTAGTTCTCTTTTACATTTTTTTTTCTTTAAATTGTTTGACCTTTCATTTGTTGTATTTTTATTTTTTTAGCACCACTTGTTTTTCTTTTTGTTTTTCTTTTTGTAAATCTAACATTGCGCAACTGCAATTTGCTCTTTAGGATGGAGAGACATCTTTCTAGAAAAATTAACGAGCCTTCATTATGTTTGAAGTGAAATGGCTTGGCTGGGTAATTAGCCTTGAGTTAAATATTTGAGCCAATTTGAAGTTAGATCTTCTGAGGTGCTAACCAAAAATTTGGTGAATTTGAATGGACTGAATTTGTTCATCAGTCAAGTTACTCAAAAGTTTTCCATGTCTCACCAGACATTTCACATATTAATGAAATTACTCTCTCAGGAAATAAAGAAACTCATTTTCTATTACTATTGAAAAAGAAAAAGTTGGTGCAAATCTTCTTTTAACAAAAATGAGGTAAAACATTCTAAATATTAGCTGTTTCCCTATAAGGAAGATTGAGCATTCATTGACCAGTATTGCTTTCAGTTGAAATTTATAAAATCCTTCTCTTAAAACAATTTTTCAGGAAAATAGGTTTCTTATGTCCAGTAGCTATTATTGCTCTTTCCAGTATTGATGTGTATTTCTTTCCTAACCTTTTATTTGAAGTAGTGTGGGGTGTCAACTTCTTGATTATGTCATTATTTTTTCTTTGAGTTACATGTACTATAAATTTTAGTTGTTGCTGTCCAAAAGTGATGTGGTTTCTGTTATTTGGTACAGTTCTTTGTAATTCTGTAGTGTCAGTCCACAATGTTCAAATAAAGGTGAGCTCTGCCAGAAGCCTCAGGTTTCACTCACTAAAAGCCTTTTTTTCACCATTGATCTTAGGGAGCTGACAGTTTAGATATTTCTGAATGGGTTTGCTGCCATGCATGACATATGAAAGTCTTGATATGACAAGGCTCAAAAATAATCCTTATGTCATTTCAAACAAAAGCAAAAAACACCCATGAGAGACAGACCAACTTAAGTAATGTCAGTATCTCTCTCCCGCTTGTGATTTTTGTGAAACCCAAATATGAATTGGAATACCAAATGATTCCTTCCAGAAAACTAAGCAAAGTCTTTAAACCTAGGAATATTTTGAAAAGGGTGTGTCATTTCTATCCTCCTGTATAGCAGTGAATGCTGGACAATTTACTCACAGATGAAGAAAAGACTCAAAGTAAGAGATGTAATTGTACAGGTGGATGCTGAAATTACCATGGATAGAAAGCATGAGCAATGAAGAAGTTATAAAGAAAATGGGAACTAGAAAGACACATACTTAAGATCAGATAGTTTAAGTTTCCCGGACACATAATGGGGAAACAAGGCTTGGAAAATTTAATACTCACATAATGTATTTAGGGAAAGAGAGCTAAAAGGAAATGGTGAACAACTTTGAACGAGTTTGTGTGAATGGATAACAGATCAAGGGCAGGAAAAGGCATGGAAAAAGAGTCAAATGTTGACTAGAGCTACAATTGATAGGAAGCTGTGGAGTATGATCTCCCATCTCCTGAAAGCAATAAAATGATGATGGTAATTGTGCAGTAACTGAATCTGAATAGATATAGCATTATTATATTGCGGTAGGTAACCAAAAATTCTGATGCCTTTAAAATATACCTGACTCCAGTGTTGTCATCTGATAAATGCTTTACTAGAAGAAATACTGCTAATTTTTTCAGCAATAGCTGTATCAACTTTATTTATAAAAAATATTTCAATAGGTTTTTTATTTGAAGTTTTATTTCCTTATATTTTAGCTACCTTAGAATTTTCTTTTATAATGCTATATCTCTTCAGGACATAGGTGATCATGTCTCTCCACAGATTACTTTTATTTATTACTTGTGAATCATCATGCATTTTTGGGAAAGATAGTGGAGTGGTTTCCCTGTTGCCTTCTCCACGGTTTGGAAATCAGAGTTTTTCTTCTCTTAGATTGGTTGCCAACCAAGGCTAGAGAGCTCAGTCTACCCTGCTGTTTAACTTATAGCTGAGAGTAGAAGTGAGTGTTATGACTTTCCTGAGGGCATAAGTGCAAAAGTGAATTCAAGACACTAGAATTTGAAATAGGATTGATGATTTTCCATTTTTTTGGCAATGAACACAGCAGGTTGATTAGGTTTAAGGCTCCAAGGTCTAGACTCAGAATTGTCTCATGGGACAATAGCCTAGTGGTTTGTGAATTTAGAATCCCTGGGATGGTTAATGCAGACCTTGACACAATGGAAACAGAGCAAGCAATAACTAAGCCATACTAAAACAGAACAAATCTAGATACCTATAGACATATACAGTGGAATAAGTGCAGTCTAGCCTAGCAGGGGTAAATTTGATGGTTATCTGGATTGATAAGCACCTGAAGATGGTGAATAATGGTCTGCGTGCAAATAATGTAAATCCTGATACGATTTTTCTGTTTTTTTTATACAGTGGCATAAATTTTCCATTTTGTTATTTGATATATTTTTCATATTTATTTTTGCTATGCAAAAGAAAATTACTTATACTAAAAACTCAAGATGGTGTTTTTGTCAAATTGTATCAGCTGAACACTAATTAAAGCAATAATAAATTTGTGAAAATATGAGGCATACTAAAAAAAGCTAAACTAAATTAGAAAAAATATATATTTACTGTATCATAAAAAAATTGGTTCCTTTCATTTTTGAGAAGATTAGTAGGCTTTCTGATATACAGTGTAACCCGGATATAAGAGAAACCCGGATATAAGGGAGATTTTCTCTGGTCCCAAATTAGAGCCTGTGTTAATGTATATAAAATAGACCAAACCCGGATATAACAGAAACACGGATATAAGAGACTTCTTCTCTGGTCCCGACAACTCTCTTATATCCGGGTTACACTGTAGTAGAACCCTAAATCACAAATTAGTGCAAATTACTTGACTTTTTAATGTAATAAAAAAAACTAATAACAAAAACCATTCAGATGAAAATTGAAACTTGCAGTAAATAAAAATGAGTTTAAAGTTTAAAATAGGTTTCTGAAAGCTGGTGATATAGTTTTTAGTTTTATAAATATTTTAATGCAGTCTTTTTTACTGTGAATTTTAAAGTCACTGTGTAATTTATTTTTCTTAATCTGCACAACTTTAAAATTGAAATGAACTGATATTGTGAAAAGTATGGCATTATATCTGAAGAATTACCAAAATATTTTTCTCCTCTTAAAATATGCCTCCTTTATTTTTATTTAAAGTTTAATGAATTTAGCCCCTCAAAAAACTGGTCTAGTTGCTGTTGCAGGGAGGCAGACACATGGAAGAGGTGAGTTCAGATTTAAACCAAATTTTTCAGATTTAGGCACTTTTCATTCAGTAGGTTTGTAGGTACTTTGATTTCCCAGCTTGTTTGGGATCCAACATTAAACTAATCTTATGTGATATTTATTCTCACAAATAAATAAAGTCATTAGGTGTAGATAGTTCTTTCATATTGCACGTTTGTGAAATGCCAAAATATCTTTGTTCATAGAACAAATAAAAGATTATTGTTACATTCATATTCCAGTCAAATTCCTCATTGTCCAGTGATTCAAACCCAATCAGTGTAAATGTCTTAGCATCTTTCAAAAAGAATAAAGGAACTGTCCCAACAAATGCTGCCTGCATATGATTGAAGGACTGAATATGCAGGCTGGTGTTATCCTGTTGGAATATAACCGACCTTTCTGTTAGCTCATTCCACAAGCTTTTTTCCCGATTAATATTTTTTTGATTCAGGATGGTACAACAGCTACCAAAAAAAAAAAAACGATTGTTTTGATTGAACTTATTTAAACCTGAACACTTCTTATGCCCTCTAATGACAAAAACAGACAAATTATTTGGACAACTCACTTTTTTAAAATTGAAAAATATGAAAAATTTCTGTAAGTTTTATTTCTATTCATCAGGTGTAGATAGATTTATACTGCATGCTAATCTATATGGTTTTCTTTTAAATATTTTGAACGATTTTCTTTTCATCTATTTTTGTTGCTTTTTCTTGCCATGTCATCTTTGCTGAGCCATTCTTCATCCAATAAAGCACAAGAACTTGATAAAAAGAATTATCTTTGAATGACATTTAAATTCTCACCTCATGTCTCAAGAGTTCTTATTTTATGATTGACACCATAATCAGTTAGATCATCAAAGATGTCATGATTAGATTTGGTTCCCGTTTGCAATCTTTGACTTGATTAACATTTATTGGAGGAAGACAACAGCAACTTGAATAAAAATAGTTGACTAAACAGAATTAATAAACACATGTACAGTGTTAATAATTATGGTGGCGAACAGTGAACTCAAAGAAACTTCAAGAATAACAATTAATAATTGAAATAAGGTAACCTCATTTATTATTGTACTAGAACCACCTAATATTTTGAGTTGATATCTCTGTTAATTTAAATAATAAAATTAGTGTCAGTTGGCCTAGAAATTGAGAAGACTTTTCAGTTTCTAGGCTGGTTGATATTAATTTCATCATTTAAAATAACAGGAATAGCAACTCAAATCTGTAGCCACTAAAGTTTTAATAAATAATGTAACATTAAAAAAAAAAAATTACTTAAAAATTATGATGATTATACCAACAGGTCGTGGAGGAAATCGATGGGTGAGCCCTGAAGGATGTGTGATGTTTACTCTTCATGTGCAACAAGATGCTAACAGTGACCTTGGATGTGCACCAGTATTTCTGCAGCACTTGTGTGGGTTGGCCATGGTACTAAGTATCCGACAGATACCTGGTTATGAGGTAAGTAATGATATGTTATATACTGATATATATCAGTCATCTACATCAACCTAACTGATCTGTGAAGACAAGCAAACAAGTTGCACTTAAAAAACAGCACACAAGCAAAGAGACACCACTTGAACAACTATTAAAATAGGCTGAGAAAAGAATATTTTCAATTTCTAACATGAGGCACACCAACTGAGGAGAGAGAGGAAAGTGTTCAAGAGCCAGAGTTGAAGTAGCTTCCAGCACAAGTGCAATGAGTTCATTGGAAAAAAAGAAGAGTAGTAATGGTAAAATAAAGAAGCAAACAGTTAAAAAGAATAAAATAAGCATTTTTTTTTATTTGAATATATTAATGAATTCATAAGAGTTTGTGGCAGGTTTATATGTTAATCAGGTTGATGTAGATGATATTAGTGAGAGTTGTAGGTTAGCATGATGTGTATGGAAGTTGTGGGTTGACAAAAATCAGAATGAAAGGAATTGAGGCAGAAAAGATATCTGTCACAATATTGGCTGAACAAAATACATATTTTTTGGTGTAATGTAGCTCCAAAAAATTAAGTTTAACTGAAAAAATGTAAATATTGCTTAAAAGTAATATAATAATTTAATATAATTTGCAATTATTATTTCTTTTATTATATATATTATTATTATTTACATTATTCAGACTGTTGTCCTTGTCTTCGTTACCATATTCATGGTGTTTCAGCCATTGTACACTAAGACCAGAGCATACAATGACCGAAACATTGTGAATATTACAGTGAAGATGAGGACAACAGTTTGAATAATGGTAATAAAATAAGCACATCTTTCCTCTTGCTCGTAACCATCCACAATGATATGACATCACAATCTTGTCCTCAGTCACCGAGCAAGTCCATGGTTGATCCTTACGGCTAGCCTTGGAATTGGTTACTCAATCTTCAATTCCCACTCCACCCATGTTGTGTTTGTTTTAGGTCACAGGGTGGGCGAAGGCCAAGTTGTATACTCAATGTTACTGATCTGGTAGCTTTGGTGAGATGACGCCACAAGGAACAAAGTGAGAGACAGCTATATAACACAACAACTTTCTATCAAAATTTAATACATTGACCATTCTATTCACTAGATTAACAGCATGCAGATTTTTAGCAACTTCCTCCTTAATGCCCCGTGATACTATGTCTAGTCACGCTTGTATTCAAGCAATTCAAGTGTATTTGGTAGTCCAGAACAAAGCCAGAGTCTAAGTTCTTTCTGCAGAATCCACACATCGTTTGGCAAAGCAGGTCTTGAACCAATTGGCATGTGTCTCTCTTGCAAACAGCAGTTCAGGCTGCCTGGTTCTTTCTTCTCCCAATGCCCTGTACTGTCTTCTTGCTTTGCTTATCTATATTTATGGACCTTCGCGCAAACCTGGTGCGAGGCATGAGGTGATTGGGAAATTGATTTGCTGACCAAATTTGTGGAGATCTCTCCCCCGAAGTGTGGTGGTGGTAGAATATCAATCTGCCCAACTTCTTCCATCTCGTGTTGGTGCCTCTCACCATCATCAAAGGGTACAGGCAATTACTCCATCTTCCTTGAAATTCTACCTGGGCCTTTTATCTCTTTCTTTGTCTCTTGATCAAAATCTGTCCCCTGAGGCTAGGTGTGGTCTAGCCCAAAATGCTAAATTCAATTATCATCCAAATTTCTCATCAGTGGGGAATTCTTATCTCATCCTTGTATAGTCAGCTGCACTTGTGATTCATTACCTGTTGCTTCTCCATGCCAGCTTTTTGGTCAACAAGTGACAAAAAGAGACAATTCTTCTTAATAAATTTTATTGTGTCTTAGGCGGACAAAGGAAAAATATAACTACAATGCCATTCCTGGTTTCCAAGTCCTATCAACTGACTGAATTTTGGCTAGAGGTTTGTTTCTAGCTATTGTGGACACTTGATGTCATTAAAATGTAATCTATTCTACCGCATGGGTCAAGTGGGCACTTAAGGAAAATACCATCACTTAAGGTTAAGTTGATCATCTACAGATGGCTTCTAAGCTAGTTGTCGTTGACACCTGCACATCAAGGTGGGGAGAGAAATGGAAAAAAATCCTCTCCCCTCTTTCTCCTTGTGTCAGTAGACTTTCAGTTTATTGAAAACAGCATTTCTCTAGTTTTTCTTGTTATCAGTATATTTTCAGTTTATTGAAAACAGCATTTCTCTAGTTTTTCTTGTTATCAGTATATTTTCAGTTTATTGAAAACAGCATTTCTCTAGTTTTTCTTGTTATCAGTATATTTTCAGTTTATTGAAAACAGCATTTCTCTAGTTTTTCTTGTTATCAGTATACTTTCAGTTTATTGAAAACAGGAATTTCTCTAGTTTTTCTTGTTATCAGTATATTTTCAGTTTATTGAAAACAGCATTTCTCTAGTTTTTCTTGTTATCAGTATATTTTCAGTTTATTGAAAACAGCATTTCTCTAGTTTTTCTTGTTATCAGTATACTTTCAGTTTATTGAAAACAGCATTTCTCTAGTTTTTCTTGTTATCAGTATACTTTCAGTTTATTGAAAACAGCATTTCTCTAGTTTTTCTTGTTATCAGTATATTTTCAGTTTATTGAAAACAGCATTTCTCTAGTTTTTCTTGTTATCAGTATACGTTCAGTTTATTGAAAACAGCATTTCTCTAGTTTTTCTTGTTATCAGTATACTTTCAGTTTATTGAAAACAGCATTTCTCTAGTTTTTCTTGTTATCAGTATGTTTTTCAGTTTATTGAAAACAGCATTTCTCTAGTTTTTCTTGTTATCAGTATACTTTCAGTTTATTGAAAACAGCATTTCTCTAGTTTTTCTTGTTATCAGTATATTTTCAGTTTATTGAAAAAAACAGCATTTCAGTTTCTAGTTTTTCTTGTTATCAGTATATTTTCAGTTTATTGAAAACAGCATTTCTCTAGTTTTTCTTGTTATCAGTATAGTTTTTCAGTTTATTGAAAACAGCATTTCTCTAGTTTTTCTTGTTATCAGTATACTTTTCAGTTTATTGAAAACAGCATTTCTCTAGTTTTTCTTGTTATCAGTATACTTTCAGTTTATTGAAAACAGCATTTCTCTAGTTTTTCTTGTTATCAGTATATTTTCAGTTTATTGAAAACAGCATTTTCTAGTTTTTCTTAGTTTTTCTTGTTATCAACATATACGTTCAGTTTATTGAAAACAGCATTTCTCTAGTTTTTCTTGTTATCAGTATAGTTTTTCAGTTTATTGAAAACAGCATTTCTAGTTTTTTCTTGTTATCAGTATATTTTCAGTTTATTGAAAACAGCATTTCTCTAGTTTTTCTTGTTATCAGTATACTTTCAGTTTATTGAAAATTTTCAGTTTAGAAAACAGCATTTCTCTAGTTTTTCTTGTTCAGTATACTTTCAGTATATTTTCAGTTTATTGAAAACAGCATTTCTCTAGTTTTTCTTGTTATCAGTATATTTTCAGTTTATTGAAAACAGCATTTCTCTAGTTTTCTTGTTATCAGTATACTTTCAGTTTATTGAAAACAGCATTTCTCTAGTTTTTCTTGTTATCAGTATATTTTCAGTTTATTGAAAACAGCATTTCTCTAGTTTTTCTTGTTATCAGTATACTTTTAGTTTATTGAAAACAGCATTTCTCTAGTTTTTTCTTGTTATCAGTATATTTTCAGTTTATTGAAAACAGGATTTCTCTAGTTTTTCTTGTTATCAGTATATTTTCAGTTTATTGAAAACAGCATTTCTCTAGTTTTTCTTGTTATCAGTATACTTTTAGTTTATTGAAAACAGCATTTCTCTAGTTTTTTTCTTGTTATCAGTATATTTTCAGTTTATTGAAAACAGCATTTCAGTTTCTAGTTTTTCTTGTTATCAGTATACTTTCAGTTTATTGAAAACAGCATTTCTCTAGTTTTTCTTGTTATCAGCATATTTTCAGTTTATTGAAAACAGGAATTTCTCTAGTTTTTCTTGTTATCAGTATACTTTCAGTTTATTGAAAACAGCATTTCTCTAGTTTTTCTTGTTATCAGTATATTTTCAGTTTATCGAAAAACATGATTTTTCTTTCTCATTTTCCAGTTTATTTTGAAAGCCTTTCTTATCTAATTTACCAGCACATTCGTAATAGTGTCACACTAATAAAAAAAATGTTTTCATTACTAAAGCTGAATTAGTCAAATAAAGCTTCATAAGCTTCTACTTAGAGTTGTTGCTGTATTACATTGTGGTAAATACAGATAGAAAAGCTAGAGTGGGGCCCAAAAGGCAGTTGGCTGTCAACACTGACAAATTTCTGGTAAATCCTGCAGCCATGTTGATCCTAATGTAACGCGCTGTATTCCTTTGGATATTGTCAGTACAATTGAAAGTGGAGCCATGTGGTCTGGGCAGTGTGTAGCCTCCATAAACCATTGCCCAGGCCTGCACCCTGGAAAGGTCACAGCAGTTTTCAAATCCCTTTTGTTTATATATTCATAATATTAATCATAGTAGCATAAATAAAAGTTGTTATTTCTTTTTTTTTTTTTACACTTGTTAATCAGTGTTGTTGAAATTAGGCTTACCAGCAATACTGGTGACATTAGTTTTTTTACAAGCATAGCCAGGACTGAGAGAATTCAAGTTCGATCTTCGACAGTTCTTCACCAATATTACTGTGTATACTGAAGCACAAAAACAACATGGAGGTGCAGAATTGGTGCAGAGCAAGCTTGCCGGAGATGGACCAAAATAAGAGGGGCATTCAGCAAAGCATGCACTAACAATGTCATAAGATAACAAAAAGACAAAATTTATTAAGAACTACAAAGGACAGGAAATTGTAGAGAGCTGTAATTGGTTACATCATAAATGGACATGGCACATAGAAAAAAGAATTAATTATTCTATAAAAATGGTTTCTAATTCTTAGTTTTTATATTGTTATGGTAATTTACCCACACACACACATGGACTCTCCCAGCTATAAATAGGAGCAGGTACTGCCTTTTGGAGAGGGAAATTTCCAGCAGTCAGCTCTGACAGTCGGACTGAACATTCCTGCTGTAATACTCTCATTTGTACATGTTTGTATTACTGTTTCTGTTAATATATTTGTTTAACTCAATTCCTCTCTTGTGTTTTTATTTTTGGCCCTAACAAGGCCACAACATATATGCAGTAAGAATAAGTTCAAAGTACAAAGAATGGGGATTTATTTCAAAACAAAATTTATTTCAAAATTTGAGAAAGGTAAAATTTTACTTTAAAATAAACTTCCTTAAAAACATCTGAGCTTAAATTTTTTTTTAAATATGCTTAATTTTTGGACTAATCTGAGCCTTGTCATATTAATTAAGAAAATAAAAAATAGTGTATCTTCTGATGATCAGTCACTAGTTAATGAGTTACTAATTTACTAATAAATTACTGATATAAATCACAAACAAGCTGAAAAACCTCACTCATTTCTTTTAAAATCTTTGGACATTTATATCGACACACACACTCAACAGGGGGGCATATAGAAGGAACTAATAAAATGGTTAACACTAGTATAAAGGTACCACCCTGTTTGGTCAAAATTCAGTTTTTTTTGTTTCCATTTTCTCTAAAATTTTGTCATTGCTTACATGTTCTCTTCATGGTTTTCTTAGCATCCTTCTGTAGAACCACATTTCTGTTGCTTCACATCTCTTCTTCATCTATGAGGAGATTGTCCAGCATTCATTGATTTATTATAGGATTGATATTACATAATAGTTCAGTACTGGGTTTTTTTTTGCTTCTAACAAAATTTTCATGTTTCTTAATACTTTACTTAGCTTTTGGGAGGCATCTTTTGCTATCTGAATGCATCTTCGGATTTCAGTGTTGCACTTTCCATCCCCTGTTAAAACATTTCTCAGATATTTAAATTGTTGTACTTGTTTGATTTTGGTAGTTCCACTAGTTTTAATCTTCATAGCTAAGACCTACCATGCTATGTACATTACAGCAAACCACCCTCATTCCCTTTGTATACCAAGCAGATTCTTCTCAAGAACTGCTGCTCCGTTTTTCTGTTTACTACAATCTTAACCTGTTCATGTCTAGGGTTAACTATATCTCCCCCACATATCTACATAAACTGTGCCCCTTACTCTGTAACCCTCTACCTCAAGTGGCTCCCGGGACTTTTACAGAGTGAACATCAATGTAAAAAAATTTAAAAAAATAAATAAAGAATTCTGTTTTCTTGCAATTGACATTTATTCCTCTTTTTTTCACTTATGGTTTGAATCAATGATTTCTAATGTCATTTTTCTGTTTCTTAATACTTTGTTTAGCCTTTGGAAGGTATCTTTTGCTATCCCAGTGCATCTTCAGATTTCAGTGTGACATTTTCTGTCCTCTGTTAAAACAATTCCCAAATATTTAAATCATTGTACATCGTTTGATTTTGGTATTCCCTATTTGTAATTTGCATGTTGGGCTGTCCCTTTTGCTTACTACCAGACTGTAAACAGAATCTAAGATTTTCAAATTTTCTAGAGCATGCGTAACCTCACCTTACAATACCTTCCCAAAGGAAGACTTTATAACTGTGATACACATCCCTAACTTAATGTGCTCCCAGCACATAACAAATTTCTCTCATTTGTATTGCATTTTAAGCATGAAATAAAAAGACTCAAACTTAAAAATTTGCTAAAAGAAGAAAAAAAAAAAACAAGTAATACTTAGGGGGTGGGAGTAAATGATAAATGTTTGAGTAAACACATTTCAGATTGAGAGAGAAGTAGAGGTTGATGAGAGAGAGTGCAAAAGAGAGACATTCAGCATTCCTTAACAATATGGATTCCATTTGCCAGTTGTTTTCATCTGCACTTGTAATGTCTGATTAATGTTCTTCCTTTTATTTCCTTTTCAGGACCTTGATCTCAAGATTAAATGGTCTAATGATATTGTGTTTGGAGGGCACATCAAATTAGGTGGGGTTCTTGTCAACTCTATGATCATAAATGGAGTACTTCATGCAATTATTGGTAAATATCATCAATACTTGGTACAATCTTAAAAAATTCTGCCATAAATATATTATTATATATCTAATAACTGTATTTGGTTAGTAGTGTTTGCCTGTGTTTCTGAACCCTTTCTTCCTGGTTTTCTATGAATTTCTATAGCAAAATAATCTGTAACACATGATTCTATTATGATTCAACCTATTCTGTCAGTAATGTCTACCTTAATTCCTAACCACTGCCTGTTCTTTTGTTACTAATAATTTATTTTGATATTATTTGCAATATCTTTTGTAAAGCAAAATGTAAAAATCATTTACAATGCAGTTATATTAAACATATAATAACTAAATTGATTCAGTAAACTTTGCATTAATTCCTAACAACAATCTCTTCTTGCACCTCGATGTATTCCATTTGTAAAATCATTACCAGTACACAGTAGATATAATAGCCTTATTCTATCAGTAATATTTTCCTTAATTCCTGATCACTAACAGTTTTTTTGTTTGTAATTTTAATGTGTTTCTCTAATAAAATAATGTATTTATGAATGTGACAGTTGTACCTATCTTCATCAGTATATCTTGAAACAGACCTGAAGAACTTTGTAATATAATTGGAACTAACAAGTTTGGAAATGAGCTCTGATTTTTTGTTTAGGCATTTATCTAATCACCTTTCTAGAATAAGATAAACTCCAAAGTAAAGTTCAGAACTCATTTCCAAATACAGACACAAAAGCAAATTCCTACTAGGCTACCTAAAACACCATCATGACAAAAAAAGATTAAGTCCTATAATCTAAGCCTAATCAACTTTATTTCAAATAGCAATATTTCAAACCAAAGACTATGTACAAAACAAATAAATAAATGAAATAATAATTTTTTTAAATAATAAGTAAACTAAATGCCACGGCTATAAGTAACCTAAAGCATTAGCCCTAAACAAAAAAACTTGGAAGGGATCCTACTGCAACTTACTTTAATCCCCCAGTGGCCTATATATAGAGTTTGTAAAAAGGACTAAGCACACATGGATTTCTTAAGGTATGAAACTGACAGTCACCCTGCAGTGTTGATTCCTATGTCCACACTGTTTATACCTACAAATGCTCTTTCTGATATTAAACACTTGTGATACATCTACGATGAATAAAGTAAAATATCCAACAAAGTATTTAGAAATGGAATATGAGAAAACCAGTTAGATGTTGAAATGTTTTTAGTTTTAAAATTTCACTTTATTTGTTTTAATTTTTACATATTTCCTGTCTGCAAGTCTTATTGATTTGTTTGTAGCTATATTTTAAAATTTTCTATATTACAAATTAACTTTAACAAATGTGTGCACATGAATTTGAATTCCAGTTGAGTTTGTTATATTGACTTATGCGAAAATATCCTTAGGAAACGTATGAATCCATCCTTAGTCTCCCACTAGCTATTGGTAAATAGCAGGACAGACTGGATCCTGTAGCTTTGGCAACCAGTCTAGGAGAAAGATACCCAAATTCAAAACCTGCGGAGTGTTGTTTCGACACCTTGTGGTACACTGTATGCATTAGTTCTCTGTATTTGGTTTTTCCAAAAAGTGTTGTTGATTCTGTACACGCCCTCACCACTATAGTTAACTCATGTTTGGGTAGTCTGGCTCTGTCCTGACTCTGTCCATTTCTGGAAATTGAGCAGCTGGGCCTTTATATGCTGAAGATGATGGGAGAGTTCATTAGCCATCCTCAGTGCTAGATTTAGATATGAGCTAGTGAATTTGAATACTAAAATTTCAGTGTAATACAGGCCCTTCATTCTAGATACATTTCTCTCAGGTGTAAAGTTTGGACAAAAAATATCATGAAGTTGCTAATGAAATAAATTGGATGAGTTCCAAAATCATTACAAATTTTAGTTGAAGTGTTTCATGTTTTATACCAAAAAAGTATCATTAAAAATAAATATATATTTTTTTATGGACAGGGGGAACATGCATAATGAAAAGACCACTTAAATCTAGCCATGACCATCTTATTGGGATTAAGGGTTAATTGATGTCTAAATCCTCTGTGAATTAAGCTTTAATGCATATTCTTAATAATATTTCATTTTTATCAAAGCCAATCTGAAATCTTAATTCTATTTATATCAAGCAGAAAGTCATTTATTTAAAATTATCCTTTCAGCCTAATATTTGACTTGGTTTTAGTTAAAAAAGACTTTACTTACAATCTCCTACATTATGAAGATAGTATAATGGTTTAACTCAAAATCCTTTTTTTAAAGACCTGATGCCCGAGATAGTTTTTTTTTCTTTTTTCAATATTGACAAATAGATGTTCTATTTTGTTTTTCAATTTGTGAATCCAATTCTTTGCTGAAAATTGTTCAATTGTTTATTGCTATTGTAATATTGTTTCTCTAGGGGCTGGCTTAAATGTCAGTAATAGCAATCCAACTGCATGTGTAAATGATGTAATAAGGCAAGCAAACTTTGAGAAAATGAAACAGTGTGCTGACCAAACATCAGTCTTGAAGGAATTGACCAAGGAGGAAGTGCTAGCAAGAATTATCACCATTTTTGAACAGCTGATGGAAAAGTGCACAAGAGAAGGGCTTAACCAATTCAAGAATCAACTCTATAAATACTGGATTCACAGGTGAGTTTTGATGCGGATACGAATCATATCTTTTTTTGTAACAAGGAAGAAAAGATTTGTTTTATTAAGTCTAATGAAAAGCATTGTCTTTTTTGTATGTTATTCACACAGATATGCATTTTATTTAAGTTTCAGTTTTTATACTAAAGAAAGTAACCTCCCTTAAATTAAATTGTCAATCTATACAAATAAAATTGCATTATGATGTACCATTTTCATTTTATGATAACAAACATAACCATATAGAAATTGATTTGATAATCTGATTTTTGTATAGTTGTGTTCATTAACATAACACAGAAAAAAGTACATCATAGTACTATTTTTGTTAGCATATTCTTGGTTCTGTAACAATGATGCCACTTGCATCTTTAGTATTACTATTATTACTGACAAGTAATATTGCAAGATATTACATGTGGTGCTAAAATGTTTGACTCATTTTCCAAAATCTGGCCAGATGATAAAACAACTCTTTATATATATATATATATATATATATATATATCCAAGTATATGATTGGTATATACGGAATGAATTCCAATAACCAACAAATACTATTCTTAAAAGAGTGCTCAATACAAAGTAGAGCAGATATAATTATTTATTTAAAAAAAATTATAACATAAATATGTTATAAAATCACTACAAAAATAGCCATTTTGTTTCAATACTCTCAGTGTCTTATCAAGTGATGATGTTGAATGTAAAATAAATGGTTTTAAAAGTTTCGAATTAATTAACAATCCTTCACAAGGGGAAAACGTTACAAAAGCTAGATGGACCAATCAAAATACAAGTATAGGAAAATTCAAAAATCTTGACAATGAAGTCATGTTATAATAGCTATTCAAATATTTAAAATATGGGTAGTATTAAAAAAGAATTTATTCTAACCAATAATTACTAAATTATATGATAAAATTTAATATTAAAATTAAAAACTGCTAATTTCAAGATCAAAATTTAATCGCTATTAAGTTTACAACTATAAAATTACTGAGGAGAAAAGAAGAAATATATATGTTATTCAATTTATTTCTTCATTGAAGTTACTTTAGCTAATTTTATATCCGGTCTTTTGACAATGTATCCATTTTAATCCTAAGAGTGTGTGAATGGGGTCCTAAACTCACGCATAAAACAAATGCAATCAGATTAAAATATATAAGGACCCAGACATATTTAAATATATATATATATACACACACAAAAAAAAGAGACGAGACAGAGAACATCACCACGATCGTATAAAAAAAAAAAAATATAAAATCGGACGTCAAAGTCAACACCCATAGGTAACTTCAATGTCCACCTCACACACATACATACATATATTTTATATTTACATACACTATTTTAATATATTAAATAATATTAATTTTTTAATCATTTTTATCTCTGTATATTTGCTCGCTTAAGTTATATTTCAGTAAATGCTGAGCATTTATGTCATGACACTTTCAGTCTTAAATATTTATTGGTTGTTGTATCCGATTGTCTGGGTCAATGTCTGTGGATGTGTGTGCATGTATTTATTATTGTCTATATGTATGAAAGTGCATTCACTTTTAATAGTGTATGTATGTACGTGTGCGTTGGTTTCTTTCCCCCCCCTTTCTCTCTTTTTTTTTTTTTTTTTTTTTTTTTTGGGACATGTAATAGTTGGAAAAGCATGAACCAAGTGGATTTTCCCATACCATACTAACACAATTAGTTTGGGTGTAAATGTTGCCATTATGGTCATAGAATGGAACTTTGGTTGTGCATGCTTGTTGTAATTTTTTTAGTATAGATGGTTTGATGGATGGCAGAGGTATAGAATTATTAGTAGAATTACATAATTGAGGATAATGTCAATTGGTTTGATCAATGGGGACGTTTGTAAATAAGTTTTCGATGTCAAGTGATGCTATTATACCTTGGTTTGGTTTAGTAGTTTTTAAAATTTGGAGGAATTCATGGGTGGATGTGATGCTGTAATTGGTGGGTAGGTATGGAGTGATGATGTTGTTCAAGAATTTTGATAGCTCATAGATAGGTGTTGGGATCTGGGAAATAATTGGTCATAGCAGATATTGAGGTTTATGGGTTTTTATATTTCCATATAAATATCCAGGTTGATAGTCTCCAACGATTTTTTGAATTTTCAGGGAACTTACTTCTGCATTGTGAGCTGTTATTTGTTTGTTGGCAGACCTTTTTAAGGTCTCAGTGGGATTTCTTTTTAGTTTGGTCATCGACAATGTTTTGTATTTTTTTGTGGTAATCGGCTTTATCCAAAAGTACATATGTATTAGCTTTATCAGCTCGTCTGATGACAATATCGAGGTTGTTTTTTAGTTCTTTTGCGGTGTTTTTTAGTTGTTAAGATATTACTGTGGTTGTTGCTGGGGGAGTGGTTCTTCAAGCCTTCAGCTTTGAGTAGGTCTCTCAGATCTGGGTGAACAGCAAGTTGGGATAGTGACTGATGTAGAATTTCAATCTTAGTTGTCTTAGGGATAAGGTCAAACTTAGGTTGGATGTGGCCCTAATTTTAAGAATTCTTTTTGTTCATCTGTTAATTTATGGCTAGATATCAAAGCCAATCTGAAAACTTATCTTAATTCTATTTATATCAAGCAGAAAGTCATTTATTTAAAATTATCCTTTCAGCCTAATATTTGACTTGGTTTTAGTTAAAGAAGACTTTACTTACAATCTCCTACATTATGAAGATATTATAATGGTTTAATAAGGTTAATATATTGCAAATAGATTTTTTTTTTTTTTTTAAAGAACTGATGCCCTAGATAGATTTTTTCCTTTATATTGTAGATGAGCACTGGAATGGCATCATTTAATCCCAATAAAAATCCTGGGCAATGTTTAACCTTTGGACCTGCAAAAAAAAAAAAAAAAAAGTTTGTCAAAAGGACATTTTGGCACCACTATTACCGTACACTATCTTGACTTCCCTGGCCATATTTATTGTTTATAAATTCTATTTTTAGAATTTTAATAACAAAATTTGAACCAACTATAATGAAATATATATTTATCATTTTATAAATATGAAAAGAGAATTTTTTTATGTATTATTTTATAAAAAATGTCTGTAAACAAGAAAATTTAAATAAACACACAATGACAAATTACTTTAATTATAAATTTTGAAAAATGCATTTTCCTGTCATTTCTTTCCACCATATTAATTCCCTAGGTTGAGAGCATCTCTTCCTCTAAACTAAACATTCTTTTAATTTTAGATTTTAGGCAGGACCACAAATTTTAAGCATGTATCTCCCTATTCATTGGGTGGACAAGGTTTTTCATAAGAATTATACTCTAAAAGTAAAAATATATTTCATTTCTTCTTGGTAAGCTAAAAATACTATTAAAAGTTGAAAATATTTTTGTGGAAAATTATTCCCTGAAATTGCTTTTTCAAAACCCATATTTTCAACTTCAACAATGCCTTTTTTTTATTGTTAAACAGTTACAATTGGTAACTATTCCTATGAAAGATATTTCTGCAGGACAGAAAGAAAAAAAAAAATAATATTAAAATCGTCCCAAGTTCAGTAAGTATAGAGATCAAATTTGATTGCTTTACCTGAGACCTGTTTGTGTGTACATGGTGGTAGGTAGAATGCAGAGGGACTAGAAAAAAAAAAAAAAAAAAAAAAAGCTTTCCTAATTATATATTTGATTGAGTTATTAATTTTTTTTATTTTTAGTGAAATTACAAAGTTTCAGCTCGAAATGGATGACGGTCATCAGATTGATGTGAGAGTTGAAGGGCTGGACTCTGAAGGTCATCTGACTGTGACTGCTGTTGACAGTGGACAAGCATTGGCATTGAACTCACTGAAATACAGCATGGATGTTACACTCCAAAAGATTTTTAAGAAAAGGACCTAAATTTATTGAATCTTTGTATTGGATGGAGATGTATATGAAAAGTGGTCTTGCCTTTTCCGGATTTATTTTTTATTCCCGGTGATGAACACAAGTAATTAACATGAAATAAACTGATTGTCGTATTTTATAATGTTTCTTTATTATTTCAAGACAACAGGTTTAAAATAGATGCACACATAAAGCAATAAGTATAAACATTTATAACATGTAAGCAAGAATGTATAGATAATGTCTATAAGTTTTTGAAGAGTCATCATCATTCCAAGAGTTGTTTGGTATATTGAACTCATTCTTTTTCTGTTCTACAGCCTTCAGATGCACAATCTATGATGAATGAGTGAAGCGGTTACTTTCTTTTTTTTAAAATAGTTGTAAATAGAATAGAAATGGTGGTAAATATACTGCTTGGTTCAGCATATTTCAAGCAATGTGAGCCACACAGAAGATACTATTCCTAGTCATCTCTTTAGCACACATGATTATATGACAATGCTTTTTAATTTTCATTATTCATACAAGTGATGTTGGCAATTTATAAAGTACAAATAAAAGATAAGGGGAATCACTGGAGAGTCAGAAAAATGAAAGCTGCAGCATATACACCTTGTAGATAAATGTCTAAGTCAGTGGATTTGTTTAGCAAGGAAATGATTGGAGAGTAATCTTGTATATAAAATATGGAATTACCATTTACAAATGTATTACTGTGCAGTTTGGCATTATGAATGAGTTCCATATTCGTTTATCTGGTTTCTTATAAAACTGGTTGAAAAGAGTGGGATGTGTCAGTGATGTTCATGTCACACTCCTCTTTAAACTCTATAAGTGCAGACTTAATCGTTATTCTACATTTGCTGCAATTGATTCAGGAGTGCCTGTCACATAAAAAAAATCCCTAAAAACTTTGTGAATTCAAGTTATAAATGAATATTATTGGACATTATTAAAAAAAAAAACTAACCGTTTCCTCTTTCTATACGAATTGTGCAATTGAGAACAGGCTCAAAATTGTGCAAAGAAACTTTTTATGCCATGTCATTTCAGGACATGGGCAATCATGGCTCACCACAACTTCCTTTTAATAGCTGTGATTTACCATGTCTTCTTGAGAAAAATAGTGAAGTGATTTCCATTGTCTTCTCTATGGTTTGAATTCAGACTAGTTCTTCTAAACATGCTGTCACTTAAAGCTCAATTCTGCTATTTAACTCAAAATGAGAAGAGATCACTTCATGCTTTTTCCAAGAGTATTAGTGTGAAGTAAACGCAACAGACTGGGATTGAACTTTGCCTAACAATTACGCTACTCACCCTATGAACTCACATCACTTTTTTTCTTTATATTAAAAATTTTGGTCATTGTGAGCGTTTTTTTTAGGTTGATATACCTCTGTGACTGGATAGGTTGCTGAGGGATGGGTGTATTTATCGAGACACCATCTCTAGATAGATTGCCAATCAAGGCTAAGGAGCTTCTATCTTCCCCATTGGTGAAGACTTGTGTCTATGTCCTAGCACAACTACTGAGGGCTTCAAAACAGTTTCCTCTGTCCAATTTTACTGATAAAGCTTGGGTCAATCAGTGGTATGGCTTTCAGGCACTTCCCAATAGTACTGCATGCTGGGATTCTCTCTCAAGCCCAAGAAGTCACCTCCTTGACTGGCGAGATCTGAATCTGCGTCTTATGGTCAGAACACTGCTGCCCTAAACACCTGGCCATGCGCTCATCAGTGATAACAATGACAAAAATAGAGAGTGAACAAACAAGACTTGATATGATAATGACCAATTTAAAAATTACAGAATGCATTTTCACAATATACCTGAATATAGTTTATACACAGGTAATTTTTTTTGAAGAGTTTAAAAATCATGCATATTCAGTGACTGGTTGTACTATACACAGGTAAATTTCAAATACATGTTCTGCTGCTTTGACAACATACCACAGCACACCTTTTAAACCTCAGTTTATAGCAAAAAAAACAAAAAAAACCCCAAAACATTTGTGTATAGAGTACTTTTTACCTAGAAGACTTACATTATTATTATTTTTAATGTCTTTATCTGGAGGCTTTTTCATTTTAGAACCAAATAGATCCTTTTTAATGAACCAACAATCTATGCATATTTCTATATAAAGCAGTATTTGTAGCTTAGGGCATTTTTGGAAAATGCATCTGACACTTGGCTTCTCTTTACATTTATAAAACATTCAAGTAAAAGTTTAGTAGAGAGAAAAACAAAACACAGCTCAAGGAAAAACATTGGTTCAACAACAATATAGTAATTATTTGCAAAATTAATTTTGTCATCAATATATGGTGATGTGGTTATAATTATAAAATAAAGTAAAACACATTCATAGCATGTGATAATGCTTCTTTATTTGTAATGAAGTATCCAATCATTTAGAAAATGCAAAAAAAAAAAAAAAAAAATATGCATACAAGAAAGTAGCTGTCACCTCTCATTGGTTAGGAAAAAAATAATTTTGACAGTGATTTTCTACCCTAAATATTAGCACTAAAAGGACTTTCATATTATTTAAAAAAAAGAAATAGTGCACCACATACAAATTTTGAGTTGGCAGTTTATGTGTTAAGCCTAGGTACCTCCACTTTTTTTGCAGGGAAACAGCATAGCATAATGAAAAAGCCCACAAACTTAATAAAAATAAAATATCATCATCAAAATGTTTATGTTATTATTAAGATGAAAGACCAAAGTATTTTTTAATTATTTTTAAAGATTTTTTAATCCTTACTAAAACTTTCAAAATTTTAGTTAAAATCTTGTTTTGTTTACATCATGGTGGCATAATAACATTGATTTTTTTCTGTTGAAAACACATTGATTTGGAAATTCTTATGAAAATCAAATAATTGTCAGATTTTAATGAAATTTTCAGGACTTGTTCACAAATGAAATTATTTTTGAATTTGTTTTTTTCTTTTTACACATGTTACCCCCTACCTAACAAACTTAATTTCATGAAATTTTGCAAAAATTCTATTTCCTGAATTTTTTTTATTTGTTAAAAGTAGGACTTCTTAGAGAATCTAAATTGCCAATTTTTTTTTTTTTTTTTTTGCAAACTTGTACTATTCTAACTGAAAATCTGTCCTGAATTGAAAAATAATGAATGCAATAAAACTATGACATTTAATTAGAAAAACTTTTAATTGCTTTTGTAAATAAGTTATATTAAGGACATTATTGTTTGAAGAAATAAAAGTTTTCCAGTGAATAATTAATTTTTACAAGAAGTTTTTCATTTTTAAAAAAAATTTAATTATATAATTTATAATAGTTTAAAATCATATAAAATTCTGTATTGGACTATTTCCTGGATGTGATATAGTAATTAAGTGGGAACGAAATTTACAAATCCAAAATCGAAAAGATTAATAAAAGGTAGTTACGTTATTCTATTTTTAAAATAATTTATTTTTTTTTTTTACTTAACTTGTTCCCTATTTTCATCTATGAAAGTCTAAACGTAACATTATCGAGAAATGGTCACATGATCTAAGTTTTGTCTCTTTAAAGAGAGATTAATTTAAGAAAATTTTATAGTATTTTAAATTTTTTTATTTTTGCATAAAGCATCTTCAAAAGGTAGATAAAAATCAAATTATTAGATAATTGTGGAAAATATGCCCATTTGTAAAAATTACTAGGTAGCTAAAAACCAAAAAAAAATGTGTTCACGTAGATTTCTTAAATTTTGTATCAATTCTAGCCAGCCATACTAGCTGTCATTGCTTCGTCACTCATCAGCCATCAATTATCGCCTCAGATAAGCAAGACCAACCATTAAATAAATGGTTGTATAATACTTTTTTTATGCTATAAGTAAGTAATATTTATTCCAAATCAGATTAATTAAACTTTAAATTTTTTAATATTACTTAAATAACGTGTCAGAAATATATTTCTTTTTTTTTAAAGAATATTAAAATTGATAAAGTTTTGTTAAAATTTTTTCTTAATTTTAAGAAATTTGTAAAGAAATTGAAATTAAATATGACATTCCAATCTATATAATTTGTATCTGAAATACAATATTTTACTTACTGGAAATAATAAATTTAATCATTTAGTTTTCAATTAAAGCTAAAATAAAATCTTCCACAATGGTTTTTCATTTTTAAAAATTCATTTTAAACTTTAGGTATCGAAAATCTATGCCGAAATAGTGGAGGTACCTAGTTAAGCCAATTTGTTACAGTCACTGTCAGTTTTTACTATGCAAGTTAATGCTTCCGCAGTATGATGGGTTGTAACCAGTTGATGTTGGCAAAACTTTTAGCATATACTTATAATTCATTTCAAACAGAAATAAAACTAGTAAAAAAGAAAAAAAAACATTTGACACAAAACTCAGAAAATTATATATTATTGTCAATCTGGAAAATTTTTTGGAAATTTATAAAATTATATAATAAATATTGTAGAACAAGCACTTAAAATAATTCCATTAATTATGAAATAAATTCATGTTGCTATATATATTGCTTTTTTTTTTTTTTGTCAGGATCCAAATAAATTGTATAATTATTATAACATCAGTTTTATTTTTAATAATTATGAAGTCCTGAACAAAGCTCTCAAGGCAAAAGCAGACTTTTTGGAGGCAAAGTAAATGGACAATTTAGAGAACTTTCATTTTTATAAGAAAATAAGCATTGTGTGGTTACAGTGTTGCAGCCCGCACTTGGTAGAATGTATTGTTTTGCTGAGTGATGAGACTTCCAGCATTTGAAAGGGCTTGGCAATTATCCAGCTTTTAGAGTTTTTTGAGGTTGGGTTTCAAAAGAGCTTTCTCCAAGACTTTATAGAAACATTTTTATTGCTTGAAAAATAATTTTACTACTCTCTAATAGTGTCTCCAAATATTTTGAAAGGTTTTAAACTCACAGAAAAAGTGTCATGTTAATTTTAACTTCATGTTAAACAGTTATTTAGCAGCACAAACAACTAAAAAAAAAAAAAA